TATGAGATTATGCAACTCCCGAATACCGGAGGAACACTTTATGTGCTACCAAACGTCACAACGTAACTGGGTGATTATAAAGGTGCTCTATAGGTGTCTCCGATGGTACTTGTTGAGTTGGCATAGACCAAGATTAGGATTTGTCACTCCGATTGTCAGAGAGGTATCTCTGGGCCCTCTCGATAATGCACATCACAATAAGCCTTGCAAGAAATGTGAATAATGAGTTAGTTGCGGGATGATGCATTACGGAATGAGTAAAGAGACTTACCGGTAACGATACTGAACTAGGTATTGATATACCGACGATCGAATCTCGAGCAAGTAACATACCGATGATAAAGGGAACAACGTATGTTGTTATGCGGTTTGACCAATAAAGATCTTCAGAGAATATGTAGGAGCCAATATGAGCATCCAGGTTCCGCTATTGGTTATTGACCGGAGATGAGTCTCGGTCATGTCTACATAGTTCTCGAACCCGTAGGGTCCGCACGCTTAACGTTCTGTGACGATCGGTATTATGAGTTTATGTGTTTTGATGTACCGAAGGTTATTCGGAGTCCCGGATGAGATCAGGGACATGACGAGGAGTCTTGGAATGTTTGAGACATAAGGATCGATATATTAGAAGGCTATATTCGGACATCGCAAAGGTTCTGAGTGGTTCGGGTATTTATCGGAGTACCCAAGAGTTACGGGAATTCACCGGGGAGTATATGGGCCTTATTGGGCTTTAAGGGAGAGAGAAAGGGGCTACCTAGGGTAGGCCACGCGCCCCCCAAAGTCCTACTCTGAATTGGACTAGGGGGAGGGGGTGTGCCCCCTCCTTCCTTCCCTTCTCTCTTCCCCTTTCTTCTCTCCTACTCCTACTACTTGGAAGAGGGGATCCTACTCCCGGGGGGAGTAGGACTCCCCAGGGCGCACCATAGTAGAGGGCCGTCCCTCCCCCTCCTCCACTCCTTTATATACGGGGGAGGGGGCACCCCATAGACACACAAGTTGATCATTGATCTTTTAGCCGTGTGCGGTGCTCCCCTCCACCATAATCCACCTCGGTCATATCGTCGTAGTGCTTAGGCAAAACCCTATGCCGGTAGCTTCATCATCACCATCATCACGCTGTCGTGCTGACGAAACTCTCCCTCGAAGCTCTACTGGATCATGAGTTCGTGGGACGTCACTGAGCTGAACGTGTGCAGATCGCGGAGGTGCCGTACGTTCAGTACTAGGATTGGTCGATCGTGAAGACGTACGACTACATCAACCGCGCTGTCATAATGCTTCCGCTTACGGTCTACGAGGGTACGTGGATGACACTCTCCCCTCTCGTTGGTCTACATCACCATGATCTTGCGTGTGCGTAGGATTTTTTTTGAAATTACTACATTCCCTAACATCGCCATGGAACAAGGCTGACCTCGAAAGGCAGGCCTTAAGGCCGAGCACAACACGACCCGACGCTGCATGCGGCTCATTTGGCTTGTAATTTCTAACTAGGTTTTTTCTTTATAAATATATTTTCCTGTATTTTTTCCTAATTGACAGATTTTTTGTATTTTCTCAAGATTAGAATTTTTAATTTTTAAAAACAAAAGTCTTAGAGGCCCACAAAGCTAGGAAGCAACACTGCCGACCAGCAGTCATGTGGTGCCAGGTTGATCCCGTGACCAGGCCTTCGGGCTAGCATGACACAACCCGTGTTGTCAGACCCGCCAAGTTGTGCTAGCATGGTCCACTCGGCCGGTTTATAAATGGGTCGTGCCATGCCGACATGTGTGCCTTGCATCGAGGCCGAGACACAACACATCCAAATGTGTCGGTCTGACCCATTTGATATTCGACCTTTCGGGCTGTTCGAAAATAAAAGCAAGTCATGCCATGTCATCACGTGGGCCTTGCCTTGCAACCCAGGAACGCGGGCTGGCCCAGTGCACAAGTACCCTCATATGGGCCAGCCAAGAAGCATGGGTGTGCCAGGCCCTTTTACAGCCTAGTCGGGCCGGGCCGGCCCATGTGGCCAGGTTTGGCCCGGAGCAGCCCATCCAGACCGGTCCACAGGCACCCAACATCCCCCAAGTAGGCCCATCCAGAACATCAAGATGCTCCGCCGGTGAACCATCTTTTATTCGCGGATGATAGCCTGCTGTTTTTCAAGGCGATTGTTGATGGAGCAGAGGAGGTGTCAAACCTATTGGATACATATTGCAGGGCCTCGGGTCAGAGAATTAACAGAGATAAATCATCGATATTCTTCAGTAAGGGGTGCCGACAAATTGTTAGAGATGCAGTGAAAGGTTGTCTACAAGTGCCAAATGAATCATTGAGTGATAGATACCTTGGAATGCCAACTGACGTCGGTCACTCAAAGATGGGTACCTTCAAACACTTGAGTGATCGGGTATGGGATAAAGTAAAAGGGTGGATGGGTAAGTGTTTGTCAGTAGGAGGCAAAGAGGTTCTAATTAAATCAGTAGCACAAGCAATTCCCGTCTATTTAATGTCATGTTTCAAACTGCCCAGAGGACTGTGCAACCACATTAATTTATCATTCGCAAGTTCTGGGGGGGATGCAAGCAGGGAGGAAGAAAACCGGCATGGGTATCTTGGGAGGTGATGACAAGGCCTAAATACCTAGGTGGAATGGGTTTTAGGGACCTGGAACTTTTTAACTTGGCACTCCTAGCACGTCAGGCGTGGAGGGTGCTAAATGATCCTACTTCATTGAGTGCAAGAATACTGAAAGCCTCATATTTTCGTAACACCTCTTTTCTTAGTGCTGAGATGGGATCACGGCCGTCACAAATTTGGAGAGCTTTGCTTGAAGGGAGAGATATCCTCAAACAAGGAATAATTCGAAGGATCGGCAATGGGCAGAGCACGAATATTTGGGAGCACAATTGGATTCCCCAAAAAAGCATCCCTGCGCCCTATTGTTTCTCGGGTTCAAAACCCACCGGAGATGGTCTCAGAACTGCTCGAGCCCGCGACGACATCATGCAACGCGGCATTGATCACAACTGTTTTCCTGCCTACGGATGCGGAGGCAATATTGAAGATTCCGGTATGCACCAGGAACATTGATGAGTTTTGGGCGTGGCATCCGGATAGGAAGGGGCGATTCGCGGTGAGCTCAACATATAAGTTCATGGTACAAACAAAGATTACAAGAGAGAATTGGCTCGAAGGGAGAAGTGGCTCATCTAGCAGCGAGAAGGAGGAAAAAGATTGGATGAATTTATGGAACCTGGAAGTCCCATCGAAGCCGCGTGTGTTTCTATGGCGTTTGGCTCGCCACTCGCTGCCGACAACGGATGTTCTCAACAGAAGAAACATGTCCACCAGGGATGCGTGTCCTTTGTGCGGGGTAGCAGATTCATGGCTCCATGCACTGCTAGCTTGCACTCACGCTAGGTGCACCTGGGCGCTGGCTGATCCCGTCCTGGTGTCTAAGATGGCGGAAAACGAGGAGCCTCGAGCAAAGAACTGGCTCTTCCAGCTAAATGAGGATTTTGACCAGAACACGTTTGCGAGGATGGTGGTAAGCCTTTGGTCGATTTGGTATGCACGGAGACAAGCCATTCATGAAGGAGTATTCCAATCGCCCGGGCAAACTTCATCTTTCGTTGATCGCTACATTGCTGAACTGGATCATGTTCCCTCACAAGTGGCGAGGCAAAATCCTGGAACGGGGAGCCGGTAGAGTGCTCCTCGGCAATGGTTACCTTCGGTGGAGGGGGTAGTTAAAATCAACGTCGACGGCGCGTTGGCGCGTAACAGAAGAGGAGGTGCAGTAGCGGCTGTGTGTCGCGACCACACTGGAACATATGTTGGATCCTCCGTGGTGATATACAATGGGATCAGAGATCCAACTATTCTGAAAACTTATGGATGCAGGAAAGCGTTGGCATTGGCGGATGATCTTCTCGAGCAGAGGCTAAAGGTGGCATCAGACTGCTTGACAGTGGTGAATGATATTAATAAGGGCACGGGAGGAGCTCATGCTGCTATCGTTCATGAAATAACAAGTCATTGTAACAGTTTTGCTTTATGTTCATGAGTCTAGAAACCATAATTTTGAGACTCACAACCTCGCCAAATTTGCATGTAATTTAACGTAGGTAGACACGTTTGGCTAGGTAATCCTCGGTACCCGCTCGTGTGCGGTGTGCCTATGAACATTTAATAAAAGTGGCGGGGTATTTCTAAAAAAAAACAGCGGACAGTAAACTCCGCTACCACTCAAAAAAAAAAGGGTAAACTCCACTGAGCGCAGCCACCGCGCCACCTGCAGTCTCCCGCCGAGCGCCGCAACGACCGCGCGCGCCGAGAGGCACCTCCCGCCCCCTGCACCTCCCCCCTGCCAGGAGCAGTAACCCGACGGCCTAGCCGCATCCTTGCACGCCAGACACGGCGAGGGACGGGCAGATCGAGCAGGCCGCAAAACGCGGAACGAGATCCGGCCTCCCCGCACATCGCGTAGCGTCAGCACCGCGCCTCCACCGCGCCGCCCATGCCCCTCGCCCGCCAGCAGGGACCAAGGCCGCGACCGTCCAGCGCCGCCGCACGACGGCAACCGCGACCTCCACGCGGCGCCCCCGTCACGCGCCCCCGCGAGCCTCCCTCCCGGCACCTTCCGCGGCGAGTGGGCCCGCCGCCACCGAGGCGACGGCCAGCGGCAGCGTTGGTTGGTGGGGATGTAGTACAGTAAAGGAGCAGAGTTGAATTGCAGGTACCAATGTCATTTCAATCGCTCTAAGCCAACAGTAAGGAGCAGTATAATATAGGTTTCATACGATTCAGATGGATGATTTGATAAGTACTCCGTCCGAAAATACTTGTCATCAAAATGGACAAAAAGGGATGCATCTAGAACTAAAATACATCTAGATACATTTTCTTTTATTCATTTTGATGACAAGTATTTCCGAATGGAGGGAGTATCTTAATCAATTAGATAATGTCTACATATGCATATACAGGGGAACAAAAATGTCGCGCTATTCCTGCCGAGCAGCAATATTTTGTCCATCAATGAAAACAACACCAACCTTGGCAATCTTGGGCCTATCAAGTTCGTCCTCAAGACACCTCTGGATCAGCTCCGGACTGCACTTGGATATGGAGAGCCTCTTCAGCGACGCCGGCAAGCCGTTCGCCGGCAGTGCCTGAATAGCCGGACAGTTGTCCACGCACAGCTCTTCCAGGGCAGGCAGAGTGTACAGGTTCTCCGGCAGCTCACTCAGTTCACCGCAGCTTCTGATGCTCAGGGTGTGCAGCTTCTCCAGCCACTCAAACTCCCAGGAACCGTCGAAGAACGCGCCGCGGCTCCCGTCGATCTCGAGTGTCTCAAGAGAATGGAGCTTGTCAAACATGTTCAGGCTCACAAACGACGTGTTCTCCAACTGAAGGCTGTACACGTTGAACATGGAGCTCAGCCAGTCCAGAGGCTCAGCGACCTTGCCGCCATGATCAGAGCTCACGTGCGGGCAGCCGCTGATCTTCAGCACCCACACTGAGAAGAGGAAAGGGTACTCGTCCACCCACCCGCCCCGCGCGACGAAGCACTCGCTGATCTCCAGCGTCCGCAGCGACGCGTGGAACTTGTCGACGAGCAGCTTCGGGCAGTCGTACAGCGAGAGGTCCCTCAGCGCGGTGAGATCCTTGAAGCCGTCGGGAAGATCGCAGGCGACGTCGTCGCAGCTCCTGATCGACAGAGCCTCGAGAGACCGCAGGAGGTGCTGCTGCTGAAGAAGACCAGTTCCCAGTGACCTCAGCTTGTGGCACCGGTGTATGTGAAGTGTGGTGAGCCGCGACGTCCATCTACCACCTTCCTCTGATGTTGACGACATTGCGTCTTCTGATGATGACTGCTTGTCCTGAATCATCGGCAGCAGCTCGAGACCAACGTTTTCAATGATCATGGTGGTGAGTGAAAGGGGGACGTCTGGGAAGGTCGTCAGGCTGGGACAGTTTCTTATCTCTAGCTTGCAGAGGCAGGGGAATGACATGTGTCTTGTCAAGTTCCCGGTCGACCATCCGGTGAAATGCGGAGCGTCTTCGATGATGAGCCTTTTGAGCTTTGGGAACAGTTCTTGGTCTGATAGTTGAGAAATGGCCACCTTGTTGACAGAGTTCATCCTCTTCATCTCTAGAACCTCGAGGCAAGGCATGTCATGCAGGCACGGCAGGCTCTCCCAGTTCAGGCAGTCTGTCAGGCACATGGATGTCACATTCGGCAGGGAGCAAGAGGCCTTCAGCATCCATGGTGGAGACCTTATTCCTGCATAGCCCGAAACCATCAGAATCTCTATGTTCTCATGTGGCTGCAGGCACTCAAGCACCTCTTCATCAACTGAAACCTCGTTGCTTCCGGGCATAGAGCTGCTGCTAGCCCATGACAGGTGTAGTTTATTCAGGTGCTGTAATTTGTTCAGGTGCTTTGTTCCCTTCAGGATACCCTTCTTGAACCCACTAGCATCGCTCCGGCGGAGATTCGCGACACAAAGCGCGCCTTTGAGCTGCACCATTTGGCGTAGGGCATTGGCGTGCGTGCCACTCTTGATGCAGATTGCCTCCAGTTCTTGCAGATTTGAGAGTAGTTGTATGTCAGGTATGGCCGAAAGGAAAGCCTCACATGCACGGAGATGCCTCAGATGAATCAAGTTTGTCATGCCATTGGGAGGACGGAGATAAGGAGAGTTGCACTTGACGTCCAGGACCTGCAGCAGGTGGAGCTGGCACATTGTATCTGGAAGTTCAGTGAGTCTGTTCCTGGACACGTTGAGATACCGCAGGTGTCGGAGCAGGCCGATCTCAGCAGGCAGAAGTGAAATGTTTGCAGACGATAAGCCGAGGACCCTCACACTCTTTGTGATCGAGAAAATCTCGACTAAAACTTCCAAGAAATCATCTGAATCGCCGAAATCTTCGAAGAACAGGATCGTGCGAACCTGCTGGAGGAAATGGTGATCGGAGGGATGTGAGAGCTGCAATGCCAGATCCATCTTCAGCTTCAGCAGGTTGTTAGTTGTGATTGTCAGGTGACGAACTTCCTGTGGCACTTCTCCTGAGCTATCAGTGACCATGTGAAACTGGCTCCCTGAGACTGCTCGTGCTAGCTTCTGCATCGTGTTGTGCATAATGTATCTGTTCCTTCCCAGGGGCTGGAAGAAGCATCGTTCGACAAGCTCGTCGAAGAACTCGCCGGCGACGTCCTCCAATGTCGCCGCAGGATCATCGGAATATATGAACCCATGTCCTACCCACATCTGCTCGAGTTCTTCCTTTCGGAAGACATAGTCACCCGGAAACACCGCACAGTATGCGAAACACTGCTTGAGGCGGGGATCAAGGTGCTGGTAGCTCAGCCAGAGCGCCGGCGAGACCCCGCCGATGTCCCCCTGCTGCCACAAGCTGTCATCCAACACATCTTTCCAGTGGCCTTCTTCGTCCCGCCGGAAGTACAGTGAACGCCCGATTGCCCGTGCCGGTAACGGTGCGCAGCCCATGTTCTTGGCCATCTCGTGTGCGATTTGCTCCATGGGTGATAGCTCCTCCTCTTCCTCTTCGAGGTCGTCCCATTCATCCACCAGCGGAGTGCAGTCTTCTTCGGCTTCATCTGCAGCCCCAAATGCGAAATGCTTGAACATCCTCCAGTAGTCATCGAATGCCATAGGGCCGAGGATCAGCGGGGGCATGGTCCCTACAGCTACGGCGGCATCTTGGGATTGAGTTGTCACCATGATCAAGCTCCTCCGAGCAGCTGGTTGCAGCACCTCCATCAGATCTCTCCACTGGGCATCGCTGACATCTGTGACGTGGTCGAGCACGAGCAGGAACCTCTTGCCGGCCAGCTGGGCCAGCAGAAGCTCCCTGGCGTCTTGGACGTCATGGCCGGCATCTCCGGTGACCACCGGATGGATCATCTGGAGCATGAGCTGCTTACTCAGCAGGAGCTCGCCGGAGACGTGCGCCCACATGCGCACGGGGAACTCGGCCTTGATGATCTCATGGTGAAAGATGAGCTGGGTGAGCGCCGTCTTGCCTACCCCCTCGGCGCCGACGACGGGGAGCACGCCGACGCCAAGGCGGTAACGCAGGTCGTCGCCGAGCCTCACCGCCTTCACGATCTGGTCCACCTGGGCCTCCCTGCCGAAGATGTCGTACTTGTCACGTACGGCATCCCCCGGCGATTTTACGGAGACGATGGTGGCGTAGTTCTTCCTCGGCACGACGTGCTCGTACATGGACGTGCACCTGTAGGCGGCCTGAGCCACCGCCTCAAACGCTTCTCTTAGTCCGTCCAGATTGACATTGACGGCGCTGCTCCTCTTCTTGCTTGAGCTTTTCCAAAGGGAGCTGCCAAGCACAGAAAGAACCTCATAGGGCTGCGCGGTTTCCTGGTGGCGCCGGCGCCGGCGACCGAGGCCGGCGTGCTGGTGTTCGACCCGGGATCGCCCACCTCGGTATGAAGGAGCACGTACTCGAGGTCGTCGAGGGCGTCGTCCGCGGAGCAGGCCGCGTCGAGCAGGTCCTGGATGGGGCGCTGGCTCGAATCGATGGCGCCGGCGTCGGCCGCGTCGAGCACCCGCCAGACGGGCGCGAGGAGACCCTCGAGGCGGCGCAGGTGGCCCACCGCGGTCTCGTCGAGCTCGGCCAGCAGCGCGATGCCCTTGCGGATCAGGCGGGCAAGCACGGCGGCGACGAACGCCGAGGCCGACCAGCCGACCATCGTGGCGAGCTTGTGCGGTGGTGGCGCCATTGCCATTGCGATGTTCCCAGCGTTTCTTCGGGAGCTGGATGACCAATCTGCAACCTCGTGTGATGATCAATTCCATGGAAGAAGAAAATGGAAGCAGCTTGCTGTTGTGGTTGCCACGTCGTTGACTGTGCGCTGATGATCAAGTCGTGCGTCGATTTAAAAGCATTGATTGGTTATAAAGTCGTGCACGTACGCACCACCCACGCTAATGACTTAGTTTGTGGCCGGTGCACAGACGACGTGCGTGCACGCGGGTTCTTTAATTAGTGTTCGCTGCAAATTCAACATTATGGCTATGTTTGACAGCAAAGTATTTGAAAAAAAAGTATCACAACAAACTACAGTAATTTAGTCCTCGGGTATAAAATACCATGGTTTTAATGTACGATATATGTAATCCGAACGTTACAACCTGCTGCGTGATATACTTGTGCAATACCATCAGGCTAAGGCAGTTCTCATGTTCTTGATGTAGGTTAGCTTGTATTTATACTTTACGAAAGTTGGGAAAATAACAATGCTATCGACGATGGGAAGAACCATGTGGAGCAAGTTTTTTTTTAAGGAACAATGCCCTGTATTTGATGACCAATTTTTAAAGAAATAAATGTTTCACTTCCTATTGAATTTTAACTCCAGTCATTGTCTCGTGTGTCACCCGAGAAAAAAGGTTTGTTTTGAGAATATTCCGGTAGTTTTCTATGTAAAAAAATGATGACTTACATACCGCAAACCTGATAACACACATACAAACACCGCGGTAATTTTTTTGACCTGGATTTTCTTTTGTTGAAAACATACCCTCAGTAATTTTTGTGTAACTATCGTGATAATATACGCACCGTGCACCCGATAACTTAGTACCAACATCATGGTAACTTTCGACCCAACAAGAGAAGGTTGTTGAAACATACCCCTTGATAAGTATGGTAAATTACGCACCGCAGAGTTGATAACTCACACATGAACACTATGATAACTTTTGACTCGGAGAAAAGTGTTTGAAAACATACTCTCGATAACTTCTGTGCAAACTAAATGGTAATATACGCAGTGCAGACATGATGAGTAATGTACAATCACCATGCTAACTTTCGACCTAGTGTATAAAGTTGTTGAATTATACCTCCGATAAGTTCTGGGTAAGTAGTGTGGTTATATATGTACCACATACCTCGTACAAACGTGATAACTTATGTGTAAATCACATGGTAATATACTCACCGCATACTTGATAACTTAGGCAAAGACACCATGATAACTTCTAGCCGGTGAAAAAAGTTGTTGAAATACATACACCGTTAACTTATGTATAAATAGCATGATAATATACATATTACAGAGATGATAACTCACGCACAAACACCGTAATAACATTTTTTAACGGAAAAATGTTGTTGAGAGATATATTCCGATAACTTGTGTGTAAGTAGCATGGTAATATACACATACAAGCCACGGTAACTTTATGACTCAAGGAAAAAAGATGAAATACACACCCGGTAACTTCATAACTTCTATGTAAATAGCATGGTAATATATGCACAACACAGCTGATAACTCGTGTACAAACACCACGGCTCGACACGCGTAAATGCGCCTGGCCCGGCACGACCCGCAGAGTTCTGTTTATAAGCGAGCCATGCTGCGTCGGCATGTGGACCTCACCCGACCCAGACACGACATCGATAGTAGACGGTGGTATCGCATACATGATAATTCTACTTACAAATCAATCGTGTGGTATCATTCGACTCATGCAAAAACAGTAGTTGAACATACCCTGATAACTTCATTGTAAACAACATGATAAGTTCTATACTGTAGGCGAGAAGTTTACATAGTCCAGATGTGGTAACTTTTGACCTGAAAAAAGAAGTCGTTGAAACATACCAACATGAGATCTAGTTTCAAAGGTGTCATCGCGACAAATCTTTTATGTGAAGACAACTTTTCAATCCGGACGACGGTTTGAGCTACAAAGCATTCTGAATTCTCAGTTTTTGAAAAGAATCTGATGACATCATCAATTTTGTTTTTTTCTTGCATGCACCTAATTAGGAGCTTTCCAACCTTCACATACATGTATTCTATAGCAGAGGCGTTTGATTTTGTTCTGGGCTCGGGAGATGCCACATGCAACGAGCACATGAGATTAGCGATCGCTAAAAATCATGTGCGTGAAGGGATGGAACATCGTTAGGATCTATTCCTATAATCAGAACGTTTGGAAGATATAACAGTCCTTTAAGGTAATAATACAGAGACAATGCCGTGGGCAGCATTGTAAATTTGGCTGGCTAGCCGGCCGTTGCATTGTAGTCACATGGGGCTAGCTAGCATCGTACTAAGAGCATCTCCAGCCGCGCCCCCAATAGGCCCTCCCCAGGCGTTTTTGCCGCGCCGGCACCCAAAAATCGGCCCAGTCGCGTCCCCAATAGCCCATTTTTCGCCGGCTCAGGCCGAAACTGGTGCCGGCAAACCCAAGCCGAACCCGGTGCTCTGGGGGCGCCTGGGGGCGCCGGCACAAGCGAAAAGGGGCGTGGGGCCGTCCTGTCGGCGAGTCGAGCGCCTCTTCTCGCCGTTTCTTCCCGCTTTTCCCTCACTTCCCTCCCATTCTCTCCATTCCTCCCGCCAATCTCCCTCTCGCTCGCCTCCCAGCCGGCCGCCATGCCGCCAAAGAAGTACGTCGTCCCCCGTGCCGCGGCAACCGTAACCGCCTCTGTTGCCCAGCCGAAGTAGAGGAAGCCGAGGGCGCCGCCGTCCAAGCCACCGGGCATGACAAACACCGAGTAGAGGGCGGAAGTTCAGCGACGGGAGGCTGTCACCGCCGACCGGCGGAACAGGGCAATCGCCAAGAAGGCCCATGACAACATGGCGCGTGCGGCTGCGGCTTCGGCGGACCAAGCCGAGGCTGAGGCGACTCGCATGGGGATGATGAATCCACCCGGCAGCCACGCCTAATACGCGCCCTGGAGCCAGCAAGGCGTCGGCTCTCCATCGCCATAGCCATGGGGATGCACGCCGTCGCCGGGCTACGCCGATGGGGACGCGCACGGTGGGTTCAACCCCAATGTCACCTTCACCAATGGACACCCGGCCTAGCGCACGCCCTCGCCCGCCTTTGCCGGCGTGCAGTACCCTTCATACAACTACTCGCCGCCGGCCTACGCGTCCTCCCCAACGCCCCCTCTCCGCCGTGGCGCGCTGCCCTTCTCGCACCTCGATGACACCGACGAGACCGACGCCGACATGGATGACATCATCGCGGCAGGCTCGGCCGCGGCTGCCGCGTCCCCCGGGTTCGCCACCCCGGATGACACGGTGGATCTCAACAGCGGCATGGACGGCGAGCTCGGCTATGTCTACGGCGAGAAGGAGCCAGAGGAGCAAGAGGAGGAGGACGAAGAGGAGGAGGAGGAGGAGGAGCCGGTGACTGTTCCGTCGAGGAGGTGCAAGAAGAAGAAGTGGGCGATCAGGTCCGGCAAGCCGCGCATCAAGTGGGCGTCCAAGGAGCAGGAATGCCTCGCCGAAGCATGGAAAGTCGTCTGCCTCGACCCGACCACCAGTACGAACCAGAGCATCGAGACGTACTGGGAGCGCATCAATGCCGAGTTTGACGAGCGCAAGCTCGTTGACCCCTACTTTAAAGGCGTCTAGATGCAGCGCGGGGCGAAGGTGATGGCGAACCATTGGAGGCTCATCCAGGGGCGTGCAACAAATGGCATGGGATCGTCGAGGAGGTCGCGGTTGCCCGAAGAGCGGCGCCAGCGTTGAGGATCAGGTATTGTTGGGGAACGTAGTAATAATTCAAAATTTTCCTACTTGTCACCAAGATCAATCTAGGAGATGCTAGCAATGAGAGAGAGGGAGTGCATCTGCATACCCTTGAAGATCACTAAGCGGAAGCGTTACAAGAACGTGGTTGATGGAGTCGTACTCGCGGCAATTCAAATCGCGGAAGATCCGATCTAGCGTCGAACGGACGACGCCTCCATGTTCAACACACAAACAACCCGGGGACGTCTCCTCCTTCTTGATCCAGCAAGGGGAGAGGAGAAGTTGAGGGAAAGCTCTGGTAGCACGACGGCATGGTGGTGGTGGAGCTCGTGGTTCTCCGGCAGGGCTTCGCCAAGCACTATGGAGGAGGAGGAGGTGTTGGAGGAGGAGAGGGTTGCGCCAAGGGAAGGGGTGCGGCTGCCCTCTCTCTCCCTCACTATATATAGGGGGAAGGGGGAGGAGGAGGCGCCCTAGGGTTTCCCTAGGGGAGGGGCGGTGGCCACAGGGAAAACCCTAGATGGGTTTGGGCGCCCCACCTCTAGGAAGGGTGGCTGCCCTAGGGGAGGCGCCCCGACCTTCCCACGTTACGTGAGATGGGGTGGGAGGGGCGCACAACCCCTTAGTGGACTGATGTGCCCCCTCCCCTTGGCCCATAAGGCCCCCAACGCTTGTCGGGGCCTCCGAAACCTCTTTCGGACACGCTGG